TGCAATTAACTGTTATTTGGTTTTGAGTATTACTATGTTATTATCTTCCTCCATGAATTGTGCAAACCACTATTCCAAACAATGTTTTTTTGCATGGTACAATAGAGGGCACTGGGAATGGTGGAAAGTGGGCTGAAAAGGATTGGGAACCACCGATCTAAAGTATGGTAGAGGGGGAAGATGAGTGAGGAACGCAGTGTGACAGGGAAGGGAAAGGGAAACAGGACGTGGAGGAATAAGAGCAAACATTGTTATATGTCAACAGACCACTAGACATCATAGTAAGAATTTGTGTAGATTAAGCCCTAAATAGGAATCATTTTTTTTATTTAAAAAAAGCTATTTAATGAGGACAGACCAACCTGGTGCCTTCCCCATACATTTTGAACTAAAACACCCATCAACCCTACCCAGCATAATCAATGGTGAGGGATGATGGGAGACAGCGCTAGGTAGCACTAGGTTGGGGAAAGCTGAGGCACACCAATACTCAGTGACGGAGCACCAGTTTTGCATGCAGAAAGACTCTTGTTTGGCCACCAGCATCTCTAGTTCAAAAGCTATTGTGCATCAGGCTGGGAAAGATGTGCATGTGAGATGCTGGAGAGCCACTGCCAACCTTAGTAGCCGGTACATAGTAATGCAAAAAACTAGAATGCAACAGATTAGTCAATACTAGGGCTTTCAGCTCATGTTAGTTGGGAGGGGATGGGGAGAAAAGGGGCCGAAACTGCCCCTGCTGGCATACAGTTTGCTTGCTGCTGGTGGTGGTGGTTTTGCAGTGTTGGTTCGTTCTCCTTCCACCAGTCAGCAGAACCCATCTGTTTTCAGAATGGTGCTATATTGCTCAAAATGGGGCATTATTGGAGGGGAAGAATGTCATCAATGCATCCACTTTTTACACTCTTCTGCTAATTGCCCAGATGCCACCAATTTGGACAGCCATGAGTGATGTAGAAAATTCTGAGGGAAGGCATTTCAGCTCTGCTTTAATGGGCAAGGTGGGGCACAGCCCTGTGGGAGACTCCATGTTTTCCATGCAGAACGTCTACAGACTTACCATCTCAAGTGAAGAGTATCTTGGAGCCAAATTGTACTTTGCATGTACATACAAAACTGCTTTATACTGCATGAAGTCACAAGTCCACCTTTCCGTTATTGCCTCCTCTGGATGACAGTGGCAGTTTGCGGTCTCAAGCCCATGATCTAGGCAGAGCTCTGCTGAGACTCTTAAGTTAGAGATGCTGGGAACTGAACCTGATGAGCAAACAAAGAAATCAACGTTTCTTTGGTGCCAAAAGTTTAAAGGAAATGATTCAGAGCACATGTGCACTAGAGATTTACAGACTAAAAGTGGAATCCTGCATGTATTTACTCCAAACTAATGCAGCTGATTTACTAAATAACCCTGGAAATTACAGACATCTGAGCAGGACTGCTAGTCTCTAACAGAACATTTTCAGTTTCAGTGTTATGTTACTTGATGTTTTTAAAGGACTTTATTTGAAGCCGTGCTTAATTTTGGAAGAGCTATTGTTTTACTGCTGCTGCTGCTGCTCCTACCACTACTAGCATATTAGGATGGTGATTAATAAGGATATAATAGTAAGAATAATTACAGTTAATTTATTATTTGCCTTCTAAACCACCATCTCAAGGTGATCTACACGTAAGATATTTAAAAACAGTTAAAAAACAACAGCAAATGCATTTAAAACAAGATGAAAACCCTAACAAATAGACACTTGATAAAGTCCCAGTTACACAACTGGGATAGCCTGTCAGAACAGAAATATCTTCAACTGTTTCTGGAAAGTGCATACAGTGCACTTTCCTATCTCAATAGCTATGCTATTCCACAGAACAGGCTTCCGAGATCTTTGGAACTTGCAGGAGAAAGTCTCCAGCAGACTGCAGTTAAAATAATGGCTTTGAAGGAGATTTGAAGGAAGAGAGAACGATAGGTCCTACTGAGTCCTTTGGGACCTTGTTGCAGCCAGAGAGGGTTGGCTTTTTCCCAGCACCATCTTAAAGTCCACACAAAGCACCTGGAAATGCCCTGGGAGATTGCTGTGGTTCTTTAAAAAAACTATATCCGGTAACGAAATAAGCTTCTATATCACGCATTCTAAATCCAAAGATTGTTTTAGTTCAAACAAAAACTTTTGAGAAGAACTGGCCACCTTATTTTATCCCCAAACTTTAATGAAGAAAATGCTCTGAACTTTGCATTAAAATGATTTCTTTTTTAAAAAGAAAAGAAAACAGAGAACTCTTTGGTTTCATGGTCTACATAAAAATAGATTTTATTTTATATTTATTTTTTAAAGGAAGGCAGCCCTAGCATAACCAGGAGGATTGATCTCCAGAACCTATTGCTTCACAGTTCAATGGCTTTATCATATCCTCACTGTGGAAAGCTGATGGCATCAAGAAGTGTCTTGTCAGTGTTGTGTTTATGACACCTGCATGTAACCATTAATCTTTTCTTGGAGAGTATATTAATGATATAGCCCTAATGGAGGGGATCCATCATCTCTGATTATAAGAATCTGCCTGAAAAATAAATGGAACCAATTAGCAGTTAAAAGAGTACTCTGAAGTAATGTCGAACAAGGACAATCTATTATACATATGAACCGTGTCCTTAAGGCAACTAATGGCAAACACATAATTCTCCCTAAGTTAGGCAAGACAAATATTTCCACAAAGTTTCATGGAGAAAAACACTCAAGAAGAGCATTAGATTAGACAACTTTCTTTCTGCAGAAAGCTAGGGTAACAGTCAGCTGAGTCATGGATGGGTCTACTGGATGGTATGACCAATGTTGGCTATGGCATCTAGTTTCTCATGATTTGTTTTTACTGGTAGGGGAATCTGGTTACAGCCAAAGCTGTGCACTAGTGGCTTCTTAAAATTCTCCATCTATTTGTAGGCAGAGAACCTGGGAGAGTGGGTGTTCAGCAAATTTCTCAAGCCGGAGGAGAGATTCCCCCAACAGTTTTTTTCCAGGACTGGCACATGTTTTTAGCAGTGGCAGTAGTACACTGAATTTATCTTCCCCTAAAAGCTGTGTTGGCATCTTGGCCTCCTTTCTCCATGTCCCAGGCCTAGCATCTCTCTCTCTCTCTCTCTCTCTCTCTCTCTCTCTCTCTCTCTGTGTGTGTGTGTGTGTTGGACACCACAAAAAATTTGCAGAGAATATTCAGAGAAAATTGTGCAAAATTGCCTTCTTTATCTGCCTCAGGGAAGGAGCAAAAGAAATATCTTAGAAATTTGCTTGTAAAAAAAATGTCTTCTGGGAGATTTTAGCTCAATTGAAGCTATAAACATTATACTGGGTTTACCACTCATAAATATAGCTACTCCCAATAGGGCATGTTCATATATCACCATTGTAGAATTTGAGAAGCTTAAACTTGCATTTAAAAAGCAACAGCCCAGAGTCTGAAAACCACAGGATTGGTCTTATTTTGTTTACTTCCAGCATTTCTATATCACCATTTTGCACTATTTTGCACTCAGGGTGGCAGTTGTTGTCACTGGCATCCGTCTGCCTCGAGAGACAATTGAGAAGTGTACTTTTGCTGTGGCAAAACACAATAGCATACAGTTTAACAGGCATGATACAAAAAGGGGGAAGATGGACCTCTGGAAATAAAAGATGGAGGCAACATTCAAAGCTCTACTGCTGCTACCAACAAGCCACTGACACATCCCTCTCTCCGCAATGCTTTGGGGGTTTGAATCACAGCCTCCAGAAGGTATTGAAAGAGCTGCCACCAACTTGCCACCTTCAAATGGAACAGTGAAAAAAGGGAGCCATTTCAGTCCACACCTAGGACAGAGACGCTATGATTTCAAAACAAAAAAAAATTCCTTCCAGTAGCACCTTAAAGACCAACTAAGTTAGTTCTTGGTATGAGCTTTCGTGTGCATGCACACTTCTTCAGATACTTCAGATATGATTTCAAATAGTCTGCCTGATTTTCTCTCACAGTGTCCCTTCTCTTTCTATTTGTTAACATTTCCTTTCTCCCCCCCCCCCACCTCCAACTTTGCTCTCTGCTGTTTCCTTTGCTGTCAACATTGTAAGCTCCTTGGGGCAGGGAGCTCTCTCTCTCTCTCCCTTTTTTCTTCCTTCATTTACTTCCATGCCCACGGATGGTGCTACAGAAATAACAGTAGACTCCCTGCTCCATCGCCCCATGCACTGTGGCAGCTGATTCTCCACGCTAGCGGGCAGAGTGCCAACTGTCTATTTTTTCACAAGCTTTTTGATTTGCTGGGATTCATCTCTCTGGGACCTTCCAATTTAATGAGGACTTTCGTGGGCATGAAAACCCCTCTCCCTTCTTAGTTCTTTTGATTTGCTTGTCCTTGGGCAGGAGACAAAACAAAACAAGAAATACACAAAAGACCTTTTTACAGCTTATCCTTATATCATTATACGGAAAACAGTGGGTACACGGCATTTTGCTGAAGGTATCTATGCAAAGAGCCTAAATAAATATATATATTTTCCCCACTGGCAGAGGTAGCCATTTTATGCCTCATATGCTTGAAATCTAACCAGAAATGCCATTGCAGTGCAAAGCTCTCGCAGTGTGTGCACAGAGAGTAGGTCATCGGGCAAAACTGTTCTTAGGCATGTGTGACATGTCCCGCTTGATTACATATCCTGCCTGTTTCTCCTTGTCATAAATACATTTCATAATTGCTGCTTGCCGGTCAAAATGGGGCCCCATCTGCACAGCCGTTGAAGCAGCGCTGAAGGTCAAAAGATGGTTTTGCTGACAAGTGAAGTTTGGAGCGGAGTCAATTGCGAGGCTTTTTCCACTCCCTTGAATCAGGTTCTTAGGACACAGGATTGGAATTGAGGCTGTTTAGGGAAGAAGGGGAGGGGAAGGGTAACACAAAGGGGAAGTTAGAGACACTTGAGAGGGAAATGGCTGTAGCATTTCCAATACAACTGTGAATCCTGTTACAGGAATTGCTGGTGGCGCCAGCGAGGTCAGGGATAAGGTCTTGGAAATCAAAGAGCAACTGAGCAGTGCTGCTCAGCCTAAAGGCTTGAACAACATGGAATGCTGAAGAGAAAGAAAGAGAGGGGAGAAAACCCTCTTTGAAATGAGATAGAATGCAGCTGAAATCCTGTTGTTCGAAACCCACGTATTGGCAACGGCTATGGAAAATTGCCTTGCCGGCTTTTTCTTTTCTTTTCTGTTTGATAAGTATAAATGGAGCAAAGGGACTCTGAGGAGTGCTGCCAATATCTTAAGGTAATGTAACCGCTGATTAACAGTGGGGGGGGGGGGAGAGGCAAGAAAACAAGCCCACCAAAGTGAAAGACAGGGATATTGGCAGCAGCAGCCGGGGGGGGGGGAGACTGAGGAATAAAATAACGTGTATGCTAGTGCTGGGGGCATACATAATAATGACTCTTGCATGGAAGTTTGGGGCTTTGTGGGGTGGAAATGTTACCAGAATAAGCGAGTTGCCCTGGTTCTCCCATGAACATGAACAAGGGACTAAATTAATAACTGTCTCTGCTAGGACAAGAAAGCAAGCTTTTTTTTAAACTCTTGCCAAAAGATACAGTGCCTGACCTGGAGGACAGAGAAAAGCACACCTGTTGAAATATTTGAGGGGGAGAGAAGCTAAAAGGCAGCTCATCTCAAAATGCTCTTATGGGTCTTCCAGAGCTGGAATTGCAACCACACTCCAATTTAAAGAGCAAACACTTGCTGCACTTACTGTTTTATTTACTAAACCACAAATAGGACTTATCATACTGTCAAAAGCCACATGTATGTGAGAGGTGCTCCATTGCTAGACTGCACCATTTTAGGATGCAGGGGGTAGGCGGGGTCAATATAAAAACTCTCCCACATGCCTTACGTTGTGCAAGAGGTCTGTGATATTTTACCCTTGTACTCCACAATCTAGGAATTTTCAGTGGAGCGCCATCTTGGAGATCACCACAGCAGATCCTTGTGCTGTCTAAAAGTCTAATGTGAGAGTCCAACAATGGAAAAGGATGAGCCAACAATGGAAAATGGTGGAAACAGATCCAGCAAGGGGCATGTTGCTACCTGGAACCTGAGAAGCAGAAGGCATTAGTACTCACAGAAGGTCATTCAGGACCCTGGACAGATCCCATTTTAAAAGCAATGTGTTCAGAGAAGGCGTGGGTGCTAATTGTGTCAGGAGTTGCCAACATGGTGCCCTCCAGATGTTGTTGGACTACAACTTGCACCATGCCTGATCACTGAGCCACACTTGTTGGAGCTGATGAGAGTTGGAATCTAACATCTGGAGGGTGGAACATTGGCTATCACAGCCTTATGAATTTCTTGTGTTTATCCACCTCTCCCAAGTCGTATCATCTTCTAGAGATTGGAGAACCTTCAAAGGACACTCAGACATCTTTTGCCAGACATGCTGCTTGTGGGGTGAGCAGTACTGATATGTAAGGCCATGGATGCAAGAATATTGGCTCTTAGGTGCAATCCAGCTGTAGCCCCTGGGTGGGGTGGGGTCATGGCTCAATGGTCTCAGCTTTTGTCCTTAGTCATGGATCTGGTGCTGCTGCTGGTGCAGCTGGGCAGTCTTCCTCCAAATCAGTGTCCAAATTCACCAATGGTGGTCTGAATCACGATGACAAGAGTGCAAGCATGAATCACAGAATTGTAGAGTTGGAAGGGTCATCTAGTACAACACCCTGATGTGAAGGAATCCCTTGCCCAATGAGAGGCTCGAACCTATGGCCATGAGATCCAGAATCTCATCCTCTACCAGCTGAGCTATTCCAGACGTGTGCTACACACTGAAAAAGTATGGTGTCCCTTTAATGTGTTTTTGCTTTCATCCCAACCAGTAGATTTGTTTCTTTGCTCTATAAGGAAGTGCTGTCGCAACCAGTGCCCCTTAATGATTCTGTAGAAGTTGGTAATGAAACACTATGCAGCTGATTCAACTGCATAAGGTCATATTCATTGCCAGGAAGTCTGTATAAATTTGGTATAAATCTGGGCCAGATTTAACTAAATAGTTGCACCAGTGTGAGCCAGCAGAACAGCTCTCCCACTCTTGTCCCTCTACATGCCCCACAAAGATGCTCTGGGGGTAGAACCCCCAAAACAGTAAATGGGGAATCCTCCAAGCAATTCACACACCTCTCCCATTTCCTGACATTGTTTTTTTGGGGGTAGGGGGGTGGGGAGATCATGCAAGCAGAAATGTCTGAGTTGATGGAATAACCAGATTAACATGATGTTGTATTCCGCCTTCTAAATACCTTCAATAAGTCTGGTTCTTTAATAAAAATATGTAACCAGGATGCTAACCAAAATAGAGTATCTTGTTAAATGCCTTGCTGAAATAAAAATGAATTCTATCCACTGGCATTCTCACAATCTACTAAACTAGTAACCCCAATTAAAAAGAGAGTGAGAGTGGAATAATTGGACTGGAATAATTCATTTTTAACGAATCCATGGTGACTTCTACTAATCATTGCACTGTTAAGCAGGTGTTTAGCGACTGATTCCTTTATAATCTTTTCTCCTATCTTCCGTGCTATCAGATTGACATTTCTGTAGTTTCCTGGATCTTCTAGTTTCTCACGTTTTGAAGATTGCAAGTATTCCGTGCTAGTCCTATTCAGAATAGACCCACTGAAGTTAATATACACAGTTCATTAATATCAGTATTCAACTCAGTCCTGCTCAGAGTAGACTGACTGATATTAGTGAACCATGTCTATTGATTTCAATGGGTCTACTCTGAGTAGGACTGAGCTGAATACAATCCATAGTTAGCATTTGCATGCCTCCAGGCCTGGGACAGCCCACCCATTCTCCATGAATCATCAAAAATGACAGCACATTTTGTGAGCAACTCAGCAAGCACCTTTTGTGCCCTGGGATGCCCATTCATCTGCCCTGGCAGTTCTGAGCTCATTTAAGGTAGCTAGGCATCAGTTTTGAACTGCAATCCTGAGTCCTCTCTAGTTAAATTACATGTCCAAGGTTGCACACAGCTCTCTCTTTAGAATATGGAGAAGTTGAGCAGTTCCACCTTCCCTTTGTCACCCATTACTTAGCACCTGTACCTTCCTCTTCCTTTGAGCATACCTGAAAAAAGTGCTCTCTTTGTGTTCTTAACATCCCTTGCCAAGCTCAGTTCATTCTGAGCTTTAGCTTTCCTGACACATCTCAACATGCCTGGGATACTAGTCTGCAGCCATCCTTTGTTACCTGTCCTTACTTCAATTTCTTATACATGCTCTCTTTGATTTTCAGCTCTTCACAAAGCCTTTTGTGCATCCACTGGGGATGGGCAAATCTGTCAATTCTGGTTTCTCTCAGTTTCTCATTTTCCCCAGTCTTAAGTTCACTTCACCACATTTCTGCATCAGTTTGCAGTTTTTGAAAGTCCTCATAACAGCTCACCAGCATTTTAGTGCCTGTTTTGTCTACTATGCATATAGATTTTTGTATGCAATTCTGCCTAATTGGAACATTTTTCCCCAGCAGTTTCTCCTAATTTGATGCATGTGTGTGTTCTCAATTTTTTTGTGTTTTCAGAAAGTTTCAAGGCTGAAAAGGGCATTTAGTGAAACCTTTCCTATAGTGGTTGCAAGAGACAGGTGAGTAATTTGATTCAGTTTGCATTTAAAGGTGACTCTATCAAAGTGGCACTTCTTGAAAGAATTTGAGAACTGAAATGCCACAATCCTTTGAAATTTGTACTTATCTGAATTTTGTTATGCGGTTCGCTCACCAAACAATGTTTTGAAATTTGCATATATCGGGGAAGTGTGCATAAAATGAATATATTGGGGGGATAGTATACAATCTTACAAAAATGGGTACATTACTCAAAAAGTGTTTATTATGAGAAATTTATACTAAAACTCAATTGCTGCATGAATTTGAAGAACTGAATTTAAGATTGGAGAAATGAGAAGCAGAGAACCAAAATGGACGGATCCTTCCATACTTAGTGGTGGCCACTAGGGATAAGTGGATTGAGGGGTGAGATGGAAATGCTTTGCTTGCTTTATTGTTCATCTTCATTTAAATCAATCAAGAAATAAATAAATGGTTTTCATTGGTTTTTCAAAAGGAACATGAGAATATAGCCATCTTATAAAACATTTGCTTTTGAATTATGGTGCTGGAGGAGACTCTTGAGAGTCCCATGGACTGCGAGAAGATCAAACCTCTCCATTCTTAAGGAAATCAGCCCTGAGTGCTCCCTGGAAGGACAGATCGTGAAGCTGAGGCTCTAATACTTTGGCCACCTCATGAGAAGAGAAGACTCCCTGGAAAAGACCCTGATGCTGGGAAAGATTGAGGGCACAAGGAGAAGGGGATGACAGAGGATGAGATGGTTGGACAGTGTTCTTGAAGCTACCAGCATGAGTTTGACCAAACTGCGGGAGGCAGTGGAAGACAGGAGTGCCTGGCATGCTCTAGTCCATGGGGTCATGAAGAGTCGGACACAACTAAACGACTAAACAACAATAAAACATTTTCCCTCCACACACCCCTAATTTCCAAATCCTATGGGAAAATGTTATTCCAAAGTTTCAGGTGGGTACCACTGTATTTGATGTTCTACTGTGCATGGGATGAAAGGATGCCATTTCTCATTAAAAAGATCCATTCTTCTGCAGTGCTAAATGGAACTAGCTGCACTTATTTCAAAAGTCAGGTCTGCCAAATGCTTTCCCAGTAAGCCCTCCCCTCCCCAAAAGTTCATAGACTTTATCCCAACCCACCAAAATGCACTCCCCAAAAGAATTTGCAGCCTCAATAATGGGACCTCGAATTGAGGAGACGTTTTCTGCACATCGCACAGCTATGGGAAGCTGAGCCTCCATTTTACATCTCCTCCAATACTCCAGGGTGCCTGACAATACTCTGGAGTGATGCGAAATTAGCAGTCTGGGTCACTGTAGGCGACTTAAAATGAAGTTTCATGCCTTCTCAAAGCCTAGCATGAGGTCCAGCATCAGAGCTGGTGGGGCCTGCATGGCGCTGAGATCCCACCAGCTGCCTGAGGTTGTCAAAAGCTGAACCACATAACCTTCGTTCCTGCATGTGGCAGATAAAATAGTCATCTTGTAATAATAATAATAATGATTTATTATTTATACCCTGTCCCTCTAGTTGGGTTTCCCCAGCCACTCTGGGTGGCTTCCAACAAAATATTAAAATACAGTAATGCATCAAATATTAAAAGCTTCCCTGAACAGGGCTGCCTTCAGATGTCTTCTAAAAGTCTGGTAGTTGTTGTTCTCTTTGACATCTGGTGGGAGGGCGTTCCACAGGGTGGATGCCACTATCAAGAAGGCCCTCTGCCTGGTTCCCTGTAACTTGGCTTCTCACAGCGAGGGAACCGTCAGAAGGCCCTCGGCGTTGGACCTCAGTGTCCAGGTAGAATGATGGGGGTGGAGATGCTTCTTCAGATATACCACACCGAGGCTGTTTAGGGCTTTAAAGGTCAGCACCAACACTTTGAATTGTGCTCGGAAACGTACTGGGAGCCAATGTAGGTCTTTCAAGACCGGTGTTGTACTGACTTTTAGTCCTCACTATTGCTTTACAATTGCTCAATTACATCTAGTTATAGTGGCATGCCAGCTCATGCCAATCTCAGTGAGCGATCGTAGTAAATGGGTGCTCATGGGTGCTGCTAAGGCTGAAACTCCTTTTGGGCATTTACATGCTAAATATCTTACTTGTGATGCATTTTGGGACAAAGGGGTGTCAACTCTCTGCCTAAATGGGCTTGCCATGCCATCAGGGAGAATTAAGCAGCTGCCTCTGGCAGCAGATGTTGGGGAGCAATGAAGTTTTGGAAGGAAGAGCTGAATGCACCATGTGGCCAGGCCTTCACCCTCTATGCTAACCTGCTGCCCTCATGTGCAACAGAGGATGTTGTGCTGTCACTGGGATTTGCAAATAAATCCATCATTTCAAAATTTAAAGCTGAGATTCAATACCTGGGTTTTGATAGATGGGAAGTGACTGAGTTTTAATACATCATTTAATGTTTCGGGTTTACACTCCCATATGCAAGATTAGGTTCTCAGAATTATTTACAGCACTGACAAACCTTTAATTGGATTTTTTTTTTTTCCGGTGGAAGTGCATATGGTCATTGCCAACTTCTGGAACATCCTTAAAGGGGAAACTTTAAAATATTGGTATAGAAGACTGTACGGAAAAGCTAACACAAACATTATGATGGGCAAGAGGAATAAAACATAAAGGCACTTCTGCTAGTATGTGGTAGAACTTTATTGTCTTTACAAATATGCCAGAAAGCAGAAGGCCAGTCTTTAGAGTTTATACTAATGCATGGATTTCATAATAACATTCCTGCCAATATTGTGTGGGAATTGTTATTTTTGCAAGGGTGAAGATATCGCCAAGGTGGGAGTTGTATTTCTTTGGTTTTGTAACACAGCTGTAAAATGTGGATTTTTTTAAAAAAAAGTTATTTACAGCACAGATATATTTTCTAAACCTGGAATGACTTGATTGCCTTGTGTATTATTTTTTTACACTAGAATTTCTTCTATCAACTCACATCAGTGTACAGATTGTGCCAAATATCTAGGTATTTATTAAAATACTGACCATCATCTGGAAACTAAGCCTTAAGACGAGCACTTGAAGGAGCTGGGTATGTTTAGCCTGGAAAAGAGGAGCCTGAGAGGAGATATGATAGCCATCTTCAAATATCTTAAGGGCTGTCACATGGAAGAGGGAACATACTTGTTTTCTCCTGCTCTGGAAGGTAGGACTCGAACCAATGGCTTCAAGTTGCAAGAAAGGAGATTCCGACTAAACATTCAGGAAAAAAACATTCCGACAGTAAGAGCTGTTCAGCAGTAGAACAGTCTCCCATGAGAGGTGGTGGACTCTCCTTCCTTGGAGGTTTTTAAGCAGAGGTTGGATGGCCATCTGTCTTGGATGCTTTAGCTGAGATTGCAGAGGGTTGGACTAGATGACCCTTGGCTCCCTTCCAACTCTAAGATTCTATGAAATCAGATGTGCAAAAGGAGTTCTATAAGTGCAGGAGCTTCCCCCCATTCTCTTCTATGGACAGGAGACCACTCCATTTTTGCAAAGGAGAATTGGCATGTCTGTACAGATTGCATCACTTTGCAGAAATGAACATGGCCGTAACTTAAGGTGATGCCCAATACAGGTAACTTTACTTTAAAATACAGACAGGACCAAAAGGTATATTCTACAGATGAATTATGTGACCCTATAATGAATAATTAGCTGGCATTTCAAGACACTGCAAAGAAAGACAGAAAGATCAAAGGGTATAACAATTATTAAAATATCAAAGGGTGAAAAGCCAGGAGCTGGAAATAAAATAGTAGTAATACAGACTGTGAAGGAGGAGATACTGTACTGCTTTAGGCAACTTTTGCCATGTTAGATCCATTCATTATCATCTACTTTTGTAAATTAGAAGTTGGGAATAGGAGAGGGGGTTGGTTGCAGGAAAAAAAGGAGACTGCACAAATGCAATTCTGCAGGCTAGCTATTCTGTGCTACAGTCAACGCATAGTTGATTGTGGACCAGTTCGAACTGGTAGCCTGGCCAATGTGTAGATGAGTCACATGACCCATGCCAGAGAACACAAACAATGGTCCTATCACAGCAAATCAGCTCTGACAAAGAGCTGAGCTACCATCACAAGATTATTCCCCCCCACACACACACATACACTTGGTTTCAGGACCAGCACCTGGATTCAGCATTGTTGGGCAGGGCAATACTTGAAGCTTCCTAGGCTTCCTCATCCTCGCTGTTGCTGCCTGTTCACCTGCTGTTTCTGAAGGTGAAAGCAGTGACATGAGTGAGGTGAAGCAGCTGTAGTTTCCTCTCAGCTAGCCCTCACTTTCTGAGAGGAGGTGGAGATTAGGCTTGGTGGGCTTGAGATGACTAAGCTCTGACTCTCCAACACTGTTGGACTATTACTCCCATAATTCCTGACAAGTGGCCACATTGCATTGTCTTGGGCGGATGGGAGTTGTACTCGGACCACATCTAAGAGAGTGCTCTACTAGCTACCCCAGGTTAAATAGTTCATCTGAAACAACAACAAAAGCTCCGTCATTTTGTCCCTTCCAAAGTACTTTCTTTTCCACAATCTCACCTTTCTAATTGCTTTTACCTCCATATAAGCACCTTGTGTCTCAAAGAAAAGGGGACTGTTCCATGGGATTTTTCTTTAACGTGTGATGAAAAATGATCTCTCAGTTCATTTTAATATGTTGAGGTTTGAGGGTTCATTATAGATTTTTACAAACATGAAGAACTTATTCTTTCTATTGAAATCAAATAGCAAACTTTTCATTCATTTAAATGGTACAAATGTCCCTACCAAAAAAAATCTAGTGAAATGGTTTGAGGAGATTTGTAGAGGTAATGCATAGCTGCTGATCATTATTGCTATATTGCAATTAAATATGTAGAAAGATACACTGTCAGAAATATCAGTTTATTTGGGTTTACATCCAATTAAATCATAGAGTATGTGCACTAAAATCAATGGGCTTGACTAACTTAAACGTCTTGATTCCAATGGTTCTACTCTAAGTTGGATGCAATCAATTGTCAGTAATAGTCAAGACACATTTTCTGCAATGTGTTTTCAATATTTCCATGCACCAACATGAAATAAAGGATGACAAGCCATCATAACAGCAAACAGAAAAGGAAATGACATTATTCCTCCTTTGTCAACACTGATTACTTATTAGTATTTCTCCTGATTTGAAACAAATATCTTAATGGTCATGCACCTATCAGCATTACTGAATCACTCCTAGATCTCCACCTGATAGCGTCTATATAGTGCACTGCTCTATAATTAGTGAGTGGGAGAAGGTTTAATATTTCAGAAATATCACTTTGGATGTTTAATTCAACTGGCTTCCTGCAGCCCTAGATAAAAATCCATGTGAATTACTTTCTAAACAATCTCTGATAGATGATCCATCACATCCCTTGGAGTTATACCAGGTTAACCCCTGATACTCATGTGAGTTGAGATAATAAAATCAGATCAATCTAGGACTCCATTGAAATATACATATCTATTTCTGAACCCAAAATGCAGTTGGTAATAAAGAGATGGGTGATGAGATACCCTGAAAGTGATTAGCCATGCAGCAAGAATAGATTTA